TTGTTTGCAGGTCGTAGGAACTTCCAACTACATGTGCCCTAAAATGTTTGCCGATATTCCTTATGGATTCAAATCTGATATTTGGTCACTAGGTAATTTTTTCTTCCTGTTTTATGACTATCTGATATCTGTTTTGCTGCAGTTCAAATACTAAAACTTTTTTGTACATGGTGTTGTATACATGAGATGACTGCTCAACACCCTGCTTTCAAAGCTTTTGTAAGATATTTTATATTTTCACTTGGTACATTATAGACAATAGACACGCCACAACTTTGTCATTCATTTAGTGCACAATATGATTTTTTCGTTCAACGTATCAATTATAGATAATAGACATGCCACAACAAGTCATATATGAATATATCTAATTTTTTCATTCAAGTCAGCAGAGTATAATTTTTTCATCCCTTTGTCTACTCCCTCGACTATGCTCGTACCCGTCTTGCAAATGACTCAAAGGCTGCAAAGAAGGGTGGTGGAGGAAGACAATTTAATGGTCTTATTGATGTCTACAAGAAGACATTGGCAACTGATGGTATTGCTGGACTTTACCGTGGTTTCAACATTTCATGTGTTGGAATCATTGTCTATCGTGGTCTCTACTTTGGAATGTATGATTCCCTGAAGCCAGTTCTCCTAACTGGATCTCTGCAGGTTAGCATCCTAAGTTCTTTTAGTTTGACTGACTTAAGCGTGTTGAGCCTTGATATTGGTGTTAGTTATGGTCTGTTCGCGTTAATATTTGTGTTAGTTATCCAGGCATGGCCTTGAACCAAAACAAGGCAAGAGAAGTTGGTTCTGATTTTTCTTGAGGATTTGAATTGAATCACTTACTGATAAGCTATTTCCATTTTGTTGTCCGTCGATCATCATTGCAGGATAGTTTCTTTGCTAGTTTTGGTCTCGGATGGCTCATCACCAACGGTGCAGGTCTAGCATCTTACCCAATTGACACCGTCAGAAGAAGAATGATGATGACATCTGGTGAAGCAGTCAAGTACAAGAGCTCCATGGATGCATTTTCACAAATCTTCAAGAATGAGGGTTTCAAGTCCTTGTTCAAGGGAGCTGGTGCTAACATCCTCCGTGCTGTCGCTGGTGCTGGTGTGCTTGCCGGTTATGATAAGTTGCAGGTCATTATGCTCGGCAAGAAGTACGGATCTGGCGGTGCTTAATTTTTGTTTTCGATGATGATGAAAATAAATTTAGTTTTGAGAATTGACCCAGTATTGCGGAAAATTTTGTTCAATAATTAGTACTCAATGATCCCATACTCATTTCCCTGGATCAGAATATTTTATATTTCTAGGTTTATGATTTATTTGAGTGACAGAAAAATGTCTGTCATATTGAATTTTATTTTGTTTGATTTGAATGTTTTGAGAGATACTCTATTTGTTATTTTATCTACTTAATTGTTAAGGAGTCACTCTTTCTACCCTTGATTAAAATCTATATGCACATTATGATTTCCATGTATTGGAATAAATTTCGTGCTACCTAATTTTGACATTGTTCTTTGGGTAAATAGCTTCTTGCTACACATTTAGGTTGCTACACGTTTAGGTGATTGCAGAAGCTATTTGTTATTTTGGGCATCAAAATGTGTGTTTAATATAGCTATTTGTTTCTTGATATAGCATGTTGTGACAATGAGCTCTGACTACTCATGAATTGTGCATAATTTATTCAATACGTAGGAATGGAAAGCTCTGCTTCTGATGGAACAATATTATGCTATCAAATGCCCTTCAACATCTTATCATTTAGTTGGCACCAAGGAGATTGAAAACAAACTTTCAAAGCTTAATGTATAATGGTTATTTTAGTCATATGTTTTAAAAGCAGTTTGATCAATTCAAATCAAATATTTTATGAATATTATTCAAGACTACTTAAATGTTATGTTCCTAATTGCAGATCTATGAATATCAAGAAATGAAGCATCTTGATTTTATTGAATTTTATGATGTGCTAGCTGCTGAAGCTGCACTTTGGCCATTGAACCAGATTGGATTTGCTGGAAAGAAGATCAAGCTTGCACCTGACCATCCTTTTTGTTGAAATAATAATTCACTATTAGAAAAATATGTGTATATATTTATGAGAATGATTTGGCTGCTGATAAGGTATGAATGAACTCATTTGAAACACTTTGTTTTGCTTTGCTTAAATAGTTTAGTATAATTTTATATAGATATATTTTTTTACTTTGTGGAGGACAGTTTTGATCAGGATCTATTTCCATGTGTCCATGTTGTTGTTTGTATTTTACACACAAGGCGGAACTATTTCCTTTTGTGTTACAATATTATAGGTATGTCTTTTATGCAATAAGTGAGTTTACTTGATTTAATGATACACTGAACTACTACTGAAATATATAGTGAAATTGGTTAATGTTAGATTGATATGCTATTGACATATATTGAAATTAGTTTAGTGATACACCGAATGATTTTAATTGCATATTAAAATTGAATACTAAACTGCTACAGGAATATATTCCGAATGAGTTTAATTGGATGCTGAACTGCTACTAGAATATATATTGTTGTTGCTATTGAATATTGAATGAGTTTAATTGGTACTACATTAACTGCTCCTATGCACTGCCTTGCTATTGCTATTGAATGTGTACTGCTATTAAATATTGAATGATATTGCTACTGGAATATATAATGCTAAATGAGTTTAATTGCTAGCAATAATATGCTTTAATTCTTAGCAATAATATGTGAAAATGTGTCAGGAATGTATACCCACACGTATTGTCTCGTGGAGGGTATCGCTTACTTGAGGAGAAAATTATAAAAGAAAAATCATCATCAAGAGATAATTTCACATTAGATGATAATGATAGTCCATCTCCACCATCACGCCATGAGTTATGGAAGAGAGCACGACAAAAGAAAGGAGGAGAATACACATCAAAATCTACACAAGAGGTTGCTGAAAAAATTGTAAGTAAACAACGAAAAAATATTCAAGTATCATTATATTTGTGATTGATTAATTGATGTTTTTGCATTTTGTAGGATTCTCTAGTTCAAGAAGCTGAAAAAGGTGCAATTGTTCCGGATGGACGTAACGATATCTTATCATTAGCCATTGGAACATCTGAGCATGGAGGTCGTGTTCGTGGTGTTGGAAAACACCATAAACAAAACACTTACTTTGGAAGATCACGTCAACATATCGACGTAAATGAACAACTTGTAATATTGAAAACAAAACTTAGAGCTGAACTTGAAGAAAAGTTGGTTGAAGAGCGTAAGATGTTTCAACAATCATTAATGGAGACACTTAAGTCCATGGATTTATCACAAAGCACAGGTGATAATAAATGCATTGAAAAATTGGAAATTACCGATGGAAGCGGAAAAGGAAGTTGTTCAGCTGCAAAGGGAAGCACAAAAGAGAGCACAAAAGACGTGGAAGTTGATGATGTTCAGAGATTGTTACTCATGGTTTTGAAAATGGATGATAACCATTTGACAATACAATTAAGTCATTGTGCGAGTGTCTCTAATTTCTATGTTTCAGCTAAATGTATCAGAGAGTTATTGGTGGGTTTAGGTCATTGGCTTGACGTGTCTATTCTGCAAATTTGGTGCACGTAAGTACATTTTATTGTTTTATTAAAGTCATTTTATATTGGTAATTTAAGTTTGGAAACTTATAAATAGTTGAATATTTTTGTATATTTTGTGAATAATATGTAATTGTAAGTTTTGAAAAAAGACTTATAAATAGTTGAATATTGTTGTATATTTTGTGAAAAATTTGTAATTGTAAGTTTGTTTGTTGTAATACAATACAAGTTTGCAATACAATTGTTCAATTTGTAAGTTTGTTGTAAAAAATAATGAAACATCGACCTAGATGTGATATATGTGATGTTGGAAAGCTATGAAATCTATATAGCGACATAAATATAGTCTGTGTGATATTGGAAAAATATGAAAAAATGGGTACAAATTATATTTGTACAGGGAAACATCCAGAAAATAAATAATCTATTCCAAAAAAATTTCATACATTTTACATCGGTTATTAGTAAAAACTGATGTAAAAACTTTCAAAAAGGGACTTTTTACATCGGTTGGGGATAATAACCGATGTAAAAAGTTGCGTCACTGGGAACTTTTTACATCGGGTATTACTTCCAACCGATGTAAAAAACTGGATCAATTTTTTTAAAAAATATGCATAATAACTGTTTCTTACATCGGTTCATATATTATAACCGATGTAAAAAAGGGACTTTTTACATCGGGTATTACTTTCAACCGATGTAAAAAACTGGATCAATTTTTTAAAAAATGTGCATAATAACAGGTTATTACATCGGTTCTGATATTATAACCGATGTAAAAAATGGACTTTTTACATCGGTCCCAGAACCGATGTAAAAAGTCCCTGATTTACTATATCGCCTGACTTTACATCGGACCCAGAACCGATGTAAAAAGTCAATTTCACCCGATGTAAAAAGTCATTTCTGCACTAGTGAATCCTGCCTAAACTAGGGCAAAATTTCTCTAAGTTAAAAGTTTTAGGGACCCTTGTTCCAAAAATCATAACTTGAGATCTAAGCTTCCTTTGAGAAAACTTTGTGACTAAAAGTTGTAGACTTTGTGGAGGAATACAACTTTCATGTTGTAAGTTTTGTTTGAATCCATTTGTATCATGGTGAAAATGTGGGGCAAAGTTAGGAAAAATTAAGAAAATTTCATAACTTAGAAAATTTCTAAGTTATGAAATTATTCAATTTCAAACCCTAAATTGCAATTTTGGGTTTCTTGATGAACAATTTTCATATTTTGACACATTTTGATGAAAAATGACCCTTGGCACTTGATTTTGACCAAAAAGTCAAAATTTGACTTTTCACTGTACAGTCAAATTTTGATCAGTTGACTGAAAAATTCATCTGTCAATCCTATGCATTTGAGATCTTTTGAACTTGTTGAATAGGTCAAGATAATGTCATTGAGTCCTTGAGCCCATGTTTGAATTTTATTTCCCATTGGCTAGGTCAAACAGTCAAAAATTGCCTTTGCACATTCAAAACCCTTAAAATGACCATTTTGCCCTTTTGGTGATCTAATCAAATTTCTTGTGGAATTGTGGTCCAAACATGATCAAATGGTTCATATGAGTTCATAATGTTGATGTGGGTCAAAATTCATGAGGTTTGACTGTAAATTGGCCACAGTTGACTTTTTCCCCAATACAGCTGATTTCTAGGTCAACTGTCCAATTGACTGGGCAAAAATTTGATTCAAGGCTTGAAACTTGGTAGAGGAAATATTATAAGTCCAGCATGAAGTATGAAAGTCACTTTGAGCATTGAAAGTCAAAAAAATCCCTGTGCAAACTCAAACCCTAATTTAGGTCATCAGTGCAAGGAGATGTCTTGAGCAGAGCAAAACCCTAATTTGGTCTTGAGTCCAAAGAGAAATGTTGATAAAATGATAGGGAAAATTTTGGGGTACAACACCATGGTTCACACATAGTTGAACCATCAACATTTACTTTATTCCATGGTTCACACATAGTTGACCATCACCAGTGAATGTAATCCATGGTTCACACATAGTTGAACCATCAACCTTTACATTACTCCATGGTTCACACAGAGTTGACCATCATCTGTGACTGTATGACATGTTTCACACATAGATGAACCATCATTATTTACTTTATTCCATGGTTCACACATAGTTGACCATCATCAGTAATTCTATTCCATTGTTCATACATAGTTGAGGCATCAAATTTCACTCTATTCCATGGTTCACACATAGTTGATCATCACCATAGATAGTATTCCATGGTTCATACATAGTTGAACATTCAACCTTTACTATATCATGTGGTTTACACATAGTTGACCATCATGAATAAATGTATTACATGGTTCACACATAGTTGAACCATCAACCTGTACTCTATTCCATGTTTCAAACATCGTTGGCCATCAGAAGTGACTAAATTCCATGGATCACACATAGTTTAACCATCAACCATTACTCTATTCCATGGTTCACACATAATAAACCATCATAAGTGACTGTATTCCATGGATCACACATAGTTAAACTTAATCGTTACTCTATTCGAGGTTCAGACATAATTGACAATCATTAGTGATTTTATTCCACGGTTC